GAAGAAGACTTTGGGCTTTAGCTTGTTACTGATAAGAAAGTTCCACAGAAGTGGAAAGGTTGTATATTCAACCTTTAAAATAAATAAAAAGTATCCATCCATCCATCTTCATCCGGGGCCGGATCGTGGGGGCAGCAGCCTAAGCAGAGAAGCCCAGACCTCCCTCTCCCCAGCCACCTCCTCCAGCTTATCTGGGGGAACACCAAGGCGTTCCCAGGCCAGCCGAGAAATATAATCTCTCCAGCGTGTCCTGGGTCTGCCCCGGGGCCTCCTCCCGGTGGGACATGCCCGGAACACCAACCCCAGGAGGCATCCTTGTCAGATGCCCGAACCACCTCAGCTGGCTCCTTTCGATGTGGAGTAGCAGCGGCTCTACTCTGAGCCCCTCCCGGATGGCCGAACTTATATCTCTAAGGGAGAGGCCAGCCAGAAGCTCATTTCCGCTGCTTGTATCCGCGATCTCGTTCTTTCGGTCACTACCCACAGCTCGTGGCCATAGGTGAGGGTAGGGACGTAGCTCAACCGGTAAATTGAGAGCTTCGCTTTTACACTCAGCTCCCTCTTCACCACGACGGACCGGTGCAGCGTCCGCATCCCTGCAGCCACCGCACCAATCCGTCTGTCGATCTCCGGCTCCCTTCTCCCATCACTCGCGAACAAGACCCCGAGATACTTGAACTCCTCCACTTGGGGCAGGAACTCATCCCCGACCCAGAGTGTGCACTCCACCCTTTTCCGGCTGAGAACCATGACCTCAGCTTTGGAGGTGCTGATCCTCATTCCTGCTGCTTCACACTCGGCCGTTCCAGTGCGAGCTGGAGGCCTTCACCCGATGAAGCCAACAGAACCACATCATCCGCGAAAAGCAGATTCATAAATAAAAAGTAAATAAATTGAAATATGTTATTTTTGAGAATAATGCAACAACCACATTTTCACTTTGGGGTAAAAACATGTTTTGGAACAATTCCATTTAGCAGTTTCCAATTATGATTACAGATTTATTTTAAAGGTTCAGATTGATAGTTTTCATGCAGTTTAGTTGCTTATTTCTCATATATTAATTTAAATAGATTTGGACTTCCACAGGACACAGACGTTTTCATTTTTCTATTAAGTTGGAAGTCTTGGGTGCAAATAGCAAATATTTTTAATGACATTATGCCATTACTGCATTATGTAAATTCTTCAATTATTGTGAATCTTCCATTTTTTGTCTGCTTTTTTGACTGCCAATTTGTGGTTCCTTTACTCATACCTGGCTGGAATCTATTGTGCTATTTATATCTTAGAATCAAAAAACATTCCTCTAAGTTATCGTTTGTTTTTACGGCCACACATTTCAGTTGGGCCTGATCCTTACCATGGAAGTTTGGGGTTGAATCTAGCTCAGGTCCTTCACTGTAATCAATCAGCGGCATCTTCATCTATCCAAAAATAGCAAGCAAGAGTCTGATGCATTTATTTATTTTTTTTATTTTTTAATTTTTTAAATAACATTGGATGTTCTTGTTCTCAGCAAAACTGCTCGAAAGCCCCAGCTTGATGTTGTAGCTATTTCATTTGTTAACAACTTATGACTATTAGTTTTCACTTCCTCATATGACTTTCCATCAGTCATATCAAGTCATATCAGAATCTGACTTTACTTGGCTGATTATCAACTGGAACAATGTCCCGTGGATGCAGATAATGGAGAATTTAATTAGAAAAATACAATCATCGTGTTTGCCTTGTGCTTTGCTTTAGATAAGATATTTTTTCACTAATATGGTTTTATTAGTTCTCCATTTGTTTAGTTTGTAATGTTAAGCTACTAAGTAATCCAGTGCCAAATAAATTATATAAATTTAATTATCAATCCTGTTTATGTAGCATATAAGCTAGTACCATGGCTGAGAACTAACTAGGACTAAAGAACACTGACATTTACCAAAAGTTTGTTTCCTTTGTCTTTGAAATTCCTTTTTTCCCTCAGACATTACTGACAGGATGTGAGAAATTTTATATATGATTTTGTATATTTAGCCCTGTGAGTTTTTCCTGGACAACTATGTATGCATAATTTTTTTTTTCTGATGACGAAAAAAGGTAAATATTCACATCAACTATGATATATGTAATAAATTCAGAGGTTGAAAACAAGGATCAGACAATACAGAAAAACAACAATAGTTTATTTGAACCATATTTTGTGTATGAACTACAAACTGGTCTCTATAATCGATCTCCGTATCTTTTAAAGGTCATGAAAGAATGCTTACATGAAAATCGATCTCTTATTCTTTTACAACATATTTATCTTTTTTTTTTTTTTCAATTTTTGAACAGGTTGTTGGCACATGTAAAATCAAAATTTAAAAATTTTTGTTTTTGTTATATTTTATTCTCAAAATGTATTTTATATAAATCTACCACTAGAACAGCATTCCTTCTCAGAAAAAGAAAAGGATGTGAAAAAAAGGAATATTGACAAAAATATTTTAGATATCTTACACACATGAGACAGCTTGACTAAAATGCAACAAAGTTACCATTGAAATTTTCAGACAGTTTACCTCCAACTAAAGGCAGAAGGGAAAGATGGTTACACTCTCAACATAAACTGAGGAGAATCGTGACCCCCTGCCTGCCAGTATGAACTGAAACAGAGAATGACACACACGCACACACACGCACACACACACACACACACACACACACACACACACACACACACACACACACACACAATATGGTTTACAAATGTGCCAGTCTCCACATAAGGGCAATTATGGGGTGAATCCTGTCCAGTTGTTGAAAAAAAATTAAGGGGAATCATTC